CCCCTTCCCTCTCTCACTCACTCACTCTCTCTCAAACAAACACAAACACAGAAGTTGGATCGGAGCTGATCCGAGCCTTTGATTGCAGGCGGCGCCATGTTGCCTTTTCAAACTTGTAATCAGTGAAGCTGGGCTTATATAGTTTTATCCAGCTGTNCCCCCCCACACACACACCTTGTTTGTTAGCCGTCCTGAGTCCCTCGGGAATAGGGCGGCATACAAGTGTAATAAACATTGAACATTGAACAATACAGTTCGGGTCACTTTCTTGCCACTCCGTGCCTCCATCTTATTTTGCAACAACCTTGCTCCTTCCATCTTCTCAACCTCCCTTCTCTGCCTTCTTATTTCCTCCTCTCCTTCCTCCTTTCTTCTTCCCCTCTCTTCCCCCCTCCTTTCTCCTCCTTCTTACTCTCTCTCCTACTCTTAATTCCCCTCCCTTACTTCCTCTGCTTTACCCTTTCTTCCTTTCCCTCCTCATCCTCCCTCCTTTCCGTTGAGGGCAACCTCAACTTCTGAAATCAAGCCATTCCACTGGTTGATTGTTTACACTGTCAGGAAAATTCAGATTTGTTCTAGGAATTCTGAGTTCTCCTTTTGGTCCCTCCTGTGGCTAATGTTGATTTTGCTCTCTTGATATAGTTTGTAATCCACAGACGTATTAAAGAATGACAGATGAATACAATTTAAAAAACAAAATCTCAGCTGAAAAGAAAAAATAATCTTAGGAGAGAGAGAGAGGGAGAGAGAGAGAGGGGGGGGAGAGAGAGAGAGAGAGAGAACACACATACATACATGCACACACACAGAGTATATCACAGAAGTGAGTACACCTCCTCACATTTTGTAAATATTTAAGTGTATCTTTTCATGTGACAACACTGAAGAAATGGCACTTAGCTGCAATGTAAAGTAGTGAGTATACAGCTTGTATATCACTGTAAATGTGCTGTTAATGTCTAAACTGCTGGCAAGAAAAGTGAGTACACCTCTAAGTGATAATGTCCAAATGGGGCCCAAAGTGTCAATATTTTGTGTGGTCACCATTATTTTCCAGCACTGCCTTAACCCTCTTGGGCATAGAGTTCACCACAGCTTCACAGGTTGCCACTGGAGTCTTCTTCCACTCCTCCATGACAATGTCACAGAGCTGGTGGATGTTAGAGACCTTGCATACCTCCACCTTCCATTTCAGGGTGCCCCACAGATGCTCAATAGGGTTTAGGTCTGGAGGCATGCTTGGTCTTTACCCTCAGCTTCTTTAGCAAGGCAGTGGTCGTTTTGGAGGTGTGTTTGGGGTCGTTATCATATTGGAATACTGCCCTGCAGCCCAGTCTCCGAAAGGAGGAGATCATGATCTGCTTCAGTATGTCACAGTACATGTTGGCATTCATGGTTCCCTCAATGAACTGTAGCTCCCCAGTGCCGGCAGCACTCATGCAGCCCCAGACCATGACATTCCCACCACCATGCTTGACTGTAGGCAAGACACACTTGTCTTTGTACTCCTCACCTGATTGCCACCACACACGCTTGACACCTTCTGAACCAAATAGGTTTATCTTGGTCTCATTTCACCCACGTAACACCTATCCTCCGCGAGCTGCACTGGCTGCCTATTGGTCTTCGGATACGCTT